AGCTGTACATTTGGTCATTCTTTGACTGCACGAATGAAACATTTTCGACCATTGAGATCTAACGTGTGAGATTCAAAGGGGCACCACGTGGACGCCATTCGTGGACTGGACGCTGGTGACCGAATGCTGGGGTACGTCCGGTCATGCGAGTCCGGTCGGCCCTCGACTGAGCAATGGCTCTATTTTCTTAGGGTGCCTATTTAAGGCTATTGGCCGGCTTGGTGCTCACTCTCTTGGCACTTTGACACACTTTATATCCTTTTGAGCCTAAACAAACATCTCCCACTCATCTACATCATTAATTCATCATCATAGTGAGATTGGGAGTGATTCCTAGTGCATTTGCTTGAGTGATTGCATCTAGTGGCACTTGAGGATCGTTGTGGTTGTGGATTTCTTGTTACTCTTGGTGGTTGCCGCCACCTAGATGGCTTGGAGCAGCGAGAGGAGCATTGGCACGAGTTGGTGATTGTTCGTGGCCATCTCTTGATGATTGTGAGGGGTCTTATACCTTCTCCGACGGAGAGCCAAAAGATAACTCTAGTAAATTGCTAGTGTCATTGAGTTACCTCACTTGTGGGTAGGTTCTTGCGGCGCCAAGTGTTGGCTAGGTGTGTGATACATATTAGCCGCTGAACCACCAAGTGTTTGTCGACACAACGGGGACTAGCATGTTGGCAAGCATGTGAACTTTGGTAGAAAAATTATGTGTCACTTGTCTCTTGATTTCTCCTAGTGATTGATTGGGCATTCATTGATTGGTTCATCTTTGTTGTCACATCGATATAATCTTCCAACACACTCTCTTGTATTTACATTGTTTACATTCTTGCCTAGTCAATCTCTTTAGTGTAGTTAGTCTTTGAGAGCTTCTTAGTTTGGTTAGTGAGGCTCTTTAGTTAGTCTTTGAGAGCTCACTAGCTTAGAGAGTAGTGACTTAGCCTTTGTGTGAACCTAGAGATCATAGCAACTAGAATTGTTGGTATAGGTGGCTTGCAACCTTTATAGAGCTAGAGTAAAAGTGCATTTCGCCATTTAGTTTACTAACCACTTGCTCTAGTGAATTTGTAGAGAATTTTTATACGCTATTCATCCCCCTCTAGCCATTTAGGACCTTTCAATGGGGCATGTGCTAGGGGGCAGTGGCTCATCTCCACGAGCAACACCACCCTTCGCCTTCATCGTCGCGGCATAACTGATCCACTTGTAGTCCCTAATGAGGTGGCCGAAGCCGTGGCAACCGGCAAGTCGCTGCTATGTGCGAGTAGGAGAGACAGTTGAAACATCTATCGCGAAGCTCTGTGGGGATCCTCCGGGCCAGCGGGAGCTGCTCTTGGCGAGGCTGATCCACCAAGGCAACCGCAGGTCACGTCTCTGGCTGGGGGAGGATCTATCTCCACCCATCAGCGTTGGGAGCGGAGACCCATCTGTGTCGGCCGAGATGTTGGTGGGCCGGGACATGTCCCTCCACTGGCCAAGTTGGTAGGCCATGCACCAGCTGGGGCCACAGTCATCTGTGACTCTATCAGCGTCGCACATGTCCTTGTCGTTCAGCGTCCGCTCCGCCACGTCCTAGAACCACGATTGAATGAATTTTGGTGCGCGACAGGGACAAAATTGGTTGATGGACAGCACCGAGGTAGGTTGTAGGGTGTTCATCGTCGGACTCCTCGCCGTCATTGTCTGCCCACCGATGGCGCTTCATACGTCCTCCCGAAAATGGGTAGAACAGAACCATAGTCGGTGAGAGTGTGGATCCTGGTGTAGGCGGCATTGGGGACTAGGAAGAGATCTGCGGAGATGCTCCCACATGGATGGGGTTGACACTAGTGTTGGCCATGGCAATGAGGGCCGATGTCGTCGCCGGCGGGGACAGGGCGGTGACGGAGCTAGCTTGGCCTTGGTGTTGGCGGTGGCATGGAGGGCCGTGGAGGGGCTGGAGCTCTAGATCCTGTGGGGACAGGCATGGGCTACCGCTGCAGACGGTGGTGGTCACCACAGCGGCTCCTGGTGTCGGTGTTTCGAGTTGCCACCAACAAGTAAATTTCTAATATTGCGCGTCTGGCTCGGATGGTATGCTTAGAAGACATGAGGTTTATACTGGTTTGAACAGAATGTCCCTACGTCTAGTTCGTTGCTACTACTCGTGTTACTAGCACTAAAAGTTCATAGTAGGGGTTATAAATGGGCAAGAGAGGGACGAGTCCCAAGTCTCTGGTGAAAAGGAGTGAACGGGTGCTGAGAAAGCTCGGTTGCTACTCAGACGTGTGTTCAGGGTTCGATGGGTTCATGATGGTTCGATCGGATCTAGCTTGAATCGATGTGATGTGTTGCGATGCCCCTTATGGGACGCCCTGCTTTCCCTTTTTTAGGCTAAGGGAAAGCATGGGTTACAATAGAGGAAAAAGAAGAACGAGAGAGAGAGAGCCAAAGGCCTTTAGGATCATCGGGTCCTTCTTCTCCTTCACGTGGGTCCCGCTGACCCTGTAGATGTCAACAGGGACGGCTTCGTGTCGCGGTCCTGTCTGTCACTGGCGCCATGCGCAGGCGTCATATGTCGGTCATGGCGCTCCACTCCATCCTAGCGAACGTCGTGGTGAACTAACGCGCCCGTCAGTGTTCGTACGGAGGTTAGGTAGAACAGCACAGGTACGCTCGACGCTGTTCTTGACGTGAATCCTCCGGTATGGCCCGTCAAGGCCACGGGTTACATCGGGGCATGCCGATCTCTTCCCTGGTGTCAGAGCTTTGACTCAGGCCCATAAGCTTGGACCTGGAGTGGTTGGCGGCGGTATGGGTCTTCGTCGGGCGAGGCGGAGCCCACGGCCTCGGGATCGGGCGAGGCAAAGTCCTCCCCTAGAGGCCGGGCGAGGCAGAGCCCACAACCTCGGGGTCGGGCGAGGCGGAGTCCTCCCCTAGAGGCTGGGCGAGGCGGAGCACAAACCCAAGGGTCGGGCGAGGTGGAGCACAAACCCAAGGGTCGGGTGAGGCAGAGTCCTCTCCCAGAGGCCAGGCGAGGCGGAGCGCAAACCCGAGGGTCGGGGAGGCGGAGCCCGCGGCCTCGGGGTCGGGCGAGGCGGAGCGCAGACCCAAGGGTCGGGTGAGGCGAAGCATTGACCCAAGGGTTGAGCGAGGCGGAGCCCGTGGCCTCGAGGTCGGGCGAGGCGGAGTCCTCCCCTAGAGGCCGGGCGAGGCGGAGCACAGACCCAAGGGTTGGAGCTGTAGTCATGCTCTTGACTACTCGGATGAGTCAATGTTGATGGTCATTAGCTCCTCCTCTTTGGGTACCCTAGTATTGGTCCCCGACACCCGGCGTCCGAGGGTCCCGCGGAGGCGATGGAGTGCCTGACACCACGGACCCCATGTGGGTGAGACCGACACCGGTGGTGGCCGCTGCAGCGTAGCTTGGCATCGTTGTCAGCGGGGACGGGGCGGTGGCGGAGCCCTGCGGGCGACGGGCGTGCACCTACGGTGAGCCGGGCGTCGAAGCCATCATCTTCGATGCATCCACAGCTGGGACGACGGTCTTCGGTGCCTGGACGGTGATCGGCTCTGGCAGCGGCGGCGCAACCCTAGATCCAGGCCCGTCGGACTTCCGCGTCACCGGAGGTTGTGGGGGCGGGCACAAGATGTTGGAGGCCGAAGTCGCCGGCGCTGCTACACCTGCCGGTGGGGGAGACGGCGCGACCGCCGCCGCCGGTGGTGCCATCGATGGGAATGCGAGGCGTCCCACACATGGCTGAGTGAAGGAGTGTTGCGTGGGAGAAGGAGGAGGGGATGGGGAGGGGGAGGGGGAGGGGGGAGGGAGGGAGGAGAGGGCAAGGCGGCGGCTTAGGAGGCGGCGTGGCGCCAAGAATGGGCAGGCTCGCTTTGGGAGCCCGCTAGGAGGCAGGTCTTCGCTCCATGCCCCTTCCGCCTCATGTTCAAGTGGCTACTAGCCCATCATATATGCAATGTCTTGATATTTGGTTGTCCTGCATTAGACAAGTTGCATTTGGTTTGGTTGTTTTTATTGTGTTTCATTTAGCCACCTCCATATTCTAGTAGAGGTGAGGGAAGTGAGAAGTTTTCATTTTTGCGTGCCCGGCTTGTGCAAATCTGTATTATCTAATATGACTGAATATGGTATATTAGCTAACTAGTATTGTACTGGGCTTGCTTTGAACACTATAGGAGCCTATGTGCACAACTAAAACATGAGTAAATTGAACTACATAAACATGAATACAGGCTAATACAAATAACCAAACATAAAAAACCCATAGCTAGCTTTTCCTAGGTTGCGCATGAAAATCAGCTGTGGATGCTAGTTAGATAAATTGAATAAAAAAACCCTGTAGAAGATCATCATCCTCACCACTAAATTATCCAAAACACACAAACTAATAATATATTATTCACCAAATTCCAAAGAATTGTATATGCATATCAGATCGAAGGTAAAAAAGAATGTTACATCATGGCATTATATACATTCATACACATCATTATATATGATCGAAGAGGTCCATATCCTCTACACAGAAGATTCCACAAGTTGCTCACAACAGACATACCCCTATCTACTGATGACACCATAAGCTAGCTAGTGGAGGTGGAAGAACAACCTAGCATCATATCATCAACAAATTTATTAACCTTTTAAATTTAAAGTACCAAGTATTACTAGGAAGTGCAATAAACATTGCTAATTCTAGAACACGTTTCAGCTAGCTATATAGTATATTATTTAGTCCATATAACCTGGATGCACACTACTTAGCTAATTAACTACAACAGTAGGAGCATGCTGTTCACATATCCTACGTACCAGCGACGGACATCATTCACGTTTATATAAAGATCGATCGGATATTGCAATGCCTAGATACACACACGATGAGTTCTTCGATGCATGGATGGATATAATTCAGGATTCAGCGTCTGCTAGTGGCTGGCGAAACGACTTGACCGGCGGCGACGACGACGACAACGTTGAGATGGCCGGCCGGATCTTCGGGCTACCAGATGAAGCTCATCTCGGCGTAGGCGCGCGTGGCGTCGTCCTCATCGTCGCGGGACGGGGAGTGGACGTGGCGACCCTCGTATGTGGTGATGACCATGCGGGGGTCCTCAGCTAGCCGCTCCACCCGCTTCTTCACCCGGCAGTTGTCCTGCGTGCACCGGTAGTAGCTCCTGCATGCATCACATCATAAATATATATCGATCGCCACTAATTAATTCAGGTTATACATCTCTCTTGTATAGTAGCTAGTCACTTTAGTAAAATGGATGCAAATCAATTATACATTTATATAGATAGATCAACTGATGGTACGGTGCATCAATTATACATTTATATAGATAGATCAACTGATGGTACGGTGGTTGATTAGTCGTTTATTTTGCTGCTAATGACGTGAGATGGCTGTTTGGTTCCCTGCCAAGCAGACTTGAGCCTCAGCCTAGGCGTAGCTCTATTATTAGGCCAATTTATCTCCTATCATCACCATGATTTTTTATATTGGAAAATTCTGGACATGTAGTAGATAGTATAATTGACCTAACCTAACCATGGTTGAAAGAGTGAAAAAGGAGCTCTCATGGATATTTGCTTTGAGCACTGTTAACTTTGCTATACACATGGGACACATGCATGGGACACGGCACAACGACAGTAGACAGGCTAGTGTAGACTGTAGACTAGTCGTGTTAATAGTTTGTTCACTACCACAACTCTACAACTAGCTAGTACTGCTCTATATTTTAATTTGCACTTACACTTTTACTAGTATCTATCTAATTGTAATTATGTAATAACTAGCAATAAAATACAGAGGTACTCCTATGTAGTACTAGTAGCAGGTAAAAGTACACCGATTGGAAATCTCAATCATGGCCTGACACATCAACAAGGAAAATGTAGAGATACTGAGTGAGTAATAATAATATTCTGGGGCTACATACCCAGGTAGCATCATTTCACTCAGCCTAAGGGCCATAGTTGTAGTTGTAGATTGATAAAGATGCGGTAATAATTACAAGAACAAAAAAAACTTGGGCCCAATTTGCAAAGCTCAAACCCACCTTTTCACCATCATCTTGCCCTTTACCAAACAGTAAAGATTCTCTCCTACCAAGACCGGCCAGCCACTTCAAACTTCAAAGCAGATATATATCCCATCCCACAGGGGAGAAACTAATTAATTAATATAGATGGTAACATTTTCCTTTTTTTGTAAAAAAAACTACAGGTTATATATTATTTCACAATTTCACGGTGTGTCGTAATCCATTATTTATGTTTATGTATGCTCTTTTTTGATTAGTTGCTTTGCTCTCGGTAAGTACCCTTTTAAAAAAACAATAATAAAAAAGAGGAAAAGATGGATGATTGCCAAGATTAGCCAACTGATTGGAAGAAAAGGGCATGGGTATGGTGTGATTCAGACACCAGAGGTAGGGGAGGAGGGTTATATTTCTTAGTGGCATCATTGCAGATGGCTAATCAGATTGGACTGGATGCTGGGCTCATGTCTGCTGCAGCGTGCGGGTGCTGGGTGGGTCAATGCTTGGCGTTGCCTGCCATGATAGCCATTCAGGGATCGATCGGATTCACACGCATACACACGACACACGCTTCTAGGTACGTGTACGTGGTGGTTTCATCATTTGGATCAGCTGGGTCGTTCTGGTCACGGAGAAGATATAGATCATGTCATATATATTGTCATGTCATCTCTACTTCCTGTGACTAACTTCCTACTACTACTTGTGACTATAACTACGTGTCTACTCCTAAGCAACAAGTGATTTATTTTTAGAATAACTGCAATAATTTTTTTATTTAAATGTACTTGCACTCTCAACAAAAATGTAATTTCCATACTTGCAGTCGCTGTTGCCTAGCTACAGTACTAGGCATGGACGAGTGGAGGTTAGTGGGTTAGATGGTGCAATGAGTATTCAACCTACTACTGCTACTACTACTTGTTAGAGCAAGTATAATAAAGGGCTACAAGCAGGTTAAATACTGATGGAGAGAGAAGAAAGGAGAGAAAGGAGAAGCGGGCTGAAACCAAGAAACTCGTGTGAGACATATAAGTGGACCATGTATTAATAGTGAAGATTATAACTACTATATAGATGGGCTGAGAGGTAGACTGCTGTAAGAATTCTTATAGCCCAGCAGCCGGCTGTATTATTAGCCTTGCTCTTAGGATGCACGTCATTCTCTCTAATGCACGGGGGGCACAAGAGCCAATATACAGGACCCACGTAAAATGTACTGGTCGATCCTTAAGCTTATATTAGCATATATATCATCTGATATATGTTATACCTTCCTTAAATTAAATAAATAACAGACACACAAATATCATATTTATGTCACTAAATGAAAAAATTGTCCTAAAAGTTAAATGACATTCTAGCTAGCGCCAGATAACTTATCGTAATGAGAGAAACTACATGGTATATATTAGGGGATTGAATTTGGTTGATTAGATGTAGGATAGACAGGAAGGGGACCAGACACACAAACAAAGTCATCTTAGAACCAGCTAGCACTTTTTCCTTTTCAGATAGCACTTCAGGAAAAAGCAACTGTGGGAGAGTGGAAAGGCTTGTGAAAATGCTCTCGTTTGCTTCTTGCAGAAGTGCACTGGACTATTTACAAAATGAGCTTTCCGTGGATATTCAGGTTTTAACATTTTGCTTCTTCTTTCTCACCTGTTTGGCTGGTATTAAAGTTGGCTGAAGCTGATTTGTTATGAGAGAAAAATACTGTAAATTCTAACTAATAACCCTGGACTGACATCATGCTAAGAAACTGCACTGAATAATTCAAAGCATATATAGCAAATATCATAAATAGATTCGAGCAATAGTTAGAAAAATGTGTTATGATTGATTATTATTATTATTAACTAGCTAGTGATAATGGTTTTTTAATGTAACGGTCTCACTGAGAACAAATAATTGGCCGGCGCTAAATTACTATCATATACAAAATTACATACTATCATCACCAATTCCCAAGAAACAATAATATCCAAATATATTGATCAAATAAAATTACTGCAAATCACACAAAATAAATTCATGAATCTGGTGGTTTTAACAAAATAAGTTCACGATCCTTTCTAATTCCCTTGCTGCATAAATATATTACTATGCAGTTGTTTTAAAATATAACATGGTTTAATCACAATTCGGATCACAACTGTTGTCCATAGAGATAACTACTTAAATAATTGAAAGCATCTATATCGATCATGATAAATAATAAGAATACATTTATTTTAATTAATCTTGTTCTTTAATTAGCTAGGATCAAAAGACACATCGCCATATGTTTTGTTGCATATGATCAAGGTAGTTCGAGTAGCTTCAGTAGCGCATGCAAAATGGATACTTCACTGCCACAAAATGGGCATTTGTGTGTGCATGCGTGTGCGCGTGAAATTCTACCTTTGGCGGAAAAAAGTATTTCTGAGTGTTTGCTAGTCGAAAGCACATGAGAAATGAACAAATTTTTAGTGCTAGTAAAGATGTATTTGTGAATGATTATATCTAGTGTATCATTTGCCCGCAAAAGTTTTGGCACACCATCCTTGTAAATAAACTGTAAATTCATTGTTTGCATCTCTGCTTATTGGAGAAGGCAATATAAAGAAATTTTTTATCAAAGTCGATAAGACATAAAGGAGGTATATGGTGTTTTGCATTATGACATATATATGATGACTATAAGAAACCTTTATGACATTACACTTTAGCAGAAAAAAACACACACGAATGAAAGTAATATTCACATTCATTTGAGTTAACACTAGCAATCAAGCCAGTCCTTAGTAAACAGAAGGAACGGTAGATATAGGTTATATTTTGATCTGTATTAGTTGGTTCTATTTTAATGTAACTTCAATCTAACACTGCAAGTAACTAGTGCACATAATTTCTCTTCCCCACTCTACCTATTTTATATTTAAGATTTTTTGTGGCGCTCATATTGTCGAGGCATGAAGGGCGGGCCTGATGCAAGCGGTAGAGTCTTACCTGCCTGTGATCGGAAGGTCCCGAGTTCGAGTCGCGGTCTCCTCGCATTGCACAAGCGAGGGTAAGGCTTGCCACTGACACCCTTCTCCAGACCCCGCACAGAGCGGGAGCTCTCTGCACTGGGTACGCCTTTTTTTTCATATTGTCGAGGCATATTAAATCCAGTAATCCAGATGAAAGATTGGAAGTTTTGTCAAGAACTTTTGGATGCTCAAAAGGAAGCCTTCCTTTCACTTATCTAGGTTTGCCTCTGAGCATTACTAGACCTAGAGCTCAGGATTTCATGCCTCTTATAACCAAATGTGAAAGAAGACTTTCAGGAATATCTTCCTTCCTGAACCAGGCAGGAAGACTCCAAATGACCAATGCTGTTCTTTCCTCCTTGCCAACTTTCTTCATGTGTTCCTTGGTTATTCCCAAAGCTGTTATGAAGCAAATTGATAAGTATAGAAAACATTGCCTATGGAGAGGTGCAGAGGCAAATGGAAGGAAGCCTACAAAGGCAGCATGGGAGATGGTTTGTGTGCCAAAAGAAGAGAGAGGTCTGGGGGTGATTGATATAGAAAAGCAAAACAAAGCCTTGCTCACCAAGAATCTCCATAAATTCTTCAACAAACTTGATTTGCCCTGGGTCAACCTCATTTGGGAGAAACATTATGTAAATGGAAAGCTTCCAAACCATATAAGAAAGGGATCCTTCTGGTGGAGAGACACTTTGAAACTACTTCCTGATTTCAAGTCTATAGCTAAGCCTCACATTGAAAGTGGTGAAAGTTCACTGTTTTGGCTGGACAGTTGGATTAATCAACCCCTGGAGACTCTAGCTCCTGAGCTCTTCTCTTTTGCAAAGAACAAGCAGATCTCAGTTCATAATGCTTTCAATGAGGAAGACTTCACAAACTTGCTTCAGCTCCCTCTCTCTCAACAGGCTTTTCAGCAAATGCAGACAATTCAGCAGGTGATGCAGTCACTCCCCCTCTCTGATGATAATGACAGATGGTTCTACTCTTGGGGATCTGACAGATTTGCATCAGCCAAGGTTTACAGAATCCTAGTGGGTCATGAAGAAGTTCATTCCTCATATAAATGGCTCTGGACAAGCCAATGCCAGCCTAAACATAAAGTGTTTTTTGGCT